TTTATGAAATTGTTGCGTGTCATTGGCGTAAGGCTGCCGAAGATTAAAACAGCTTTGGTCTTAAAAGCAGTCGAAACTATCTATTAGGTCATAAGATCAATTTGCAGCGTTTTTAAATTTATCTTTTCCTTTTTTTCGGAGTTAATAGAAACTGACCCTGCCTCCACACAGATAGACGTATTTCCGTGAATTATTGATAACTCTTATTTATATCTCGTTAACGGAAAAAAATATCAAAGTAATTAGTTGAGTTTTTACGCTAGAAAGTCTGGGACACTAACTTTTCCGAACTTATTTATAGCTTGAAAATTGGATGCAAAAATATAAACTTTTTAATGCATGTCGAATTTGAGGTTTGTGTTTGGGCAACTGGGTATAAGAACCTATTGGATAGAACGTTCCGATATCTCACTCATTAGGTTCTATTATATCATGACTAACCTCTAAAAAGATACAAGCAAAAATAAGAGTACGATAAAACTGGACACAGCTTATTTTGTCTCGAAATCTCGTATCTCGGAAATTGCCGCAAATGTCTGCTTCAGGACCACGATCTGAGTTCGACAGCATTCACTCTTAAAGCATGCTCTCAGCGCAATGAAAAAACCTTTGGCTGAAAACATTTGCAAGATCCGTGTTGAGGGAACCTTTCATGAGCTAAATTTTGATATTTAAAATTGCCCGTTTTGTGACGTTTCTAAACATCACAAATCATCTCTAAAAAACTTAAAATATTGCTTATTCATTGGTTCGGTCGACTTTTTTGGACGAAAATGTGAGTCTTGAATTACTGCGACGGTAGTTGAGTTGCGCACTAAACCTTCAGCTTCAGTCCCATGTGGTTCTGACACAGTTCACATGCGATCTGGTTCAAATTCAGTATAATTTAGTCTCCCCATTCCCTCCAGTACCATTTAGTTTCCACAATCATGAACTGACGCTCGCCGTCTTCTTATTACGTCTTCAAGTACAACCATATTCTAATTTAAAAATTCGCAGTTATTCACGTGCCGTTGTATTGCCAAGCAAATTTAGTCACTGTCCGATTATTGCCGGAGTTAATTTCATAATGGATCCCAGTTATTTTCGTTTTCCGTCCTAAAGTGCTTCCTTGGAAAATTGTAGATCCCATGTGGTTCTGACATAGTTCACATGCAATTGCGTTTGAGTTCAATCTCTTTTAGTCTCCCCATCCTCTCTAATCGCATTTATTTTCCTCAAGCTCATAAACTCACGCTCGCCGCCTCCTCATTATATGGTCAAATTGAATCACATTCTAATATCATAATTAATATTATTCACACGCTTTTGTATTGTCAAGCAAATTTAGCTGTTGTCCCATTATTTTGCGAATTGCGTTATACAGTGAATAAATTAATGTTGTTAGATCGCTAGTTACTTTTTTATCAACAAGATCTGATTTCGATAGATCTAAGGGATAATCCCCTAAGGAGCAACGCTTAGTTGATAACAAATCCTAACCCAAAACCCCGTAACAGCAACCCCATGCGGTTTAATTAAATAGAGTATGTGTGATCGAATAACCCGAAGCAAAAGAAAGGAACGTTAACCAAGAGAGAATATGGGGAAAAGGCATGTATTGTCGCAATGGTGAATGAATACTAATTGGTAATTATTATCGATCAATGTAATACAGTGACAGTGAAAAGTTGGGTCTGAGTCCATGAATGATAAGGATTTATATTGGAACTATGCTCGCGGGTGCAGAATTTTCGGGGCGAAGTTTCAGGCAGATGTATCAGAATATTTATAGCGTATTTGAGTATAATGCGAGAACGAATAGAATTTAAAAGTCCATGCCTCATGGGCTGTTAAGCGATGCAGCGAACCTTCGAACCATTACACATCACGTAACACATGGTTCTCTGTTATCTTCCAACACATTTTTTTTGTCGTATTATGAGTTTACTGCATCATGCCATTAATTAATTCAAACACAATCTGCTTCCCGATTAGACATTAATAATTATGTTAAATTAAGTAATTATAACTTTTTTGCTTTTGGGTTTAATAAAAAATGATCTCGTATCGTGTATCCGTTTCTATCTTGGCTTTCGTTCCAATTGTTTTGTATCAAAAAATTACCTCTCTTTGATATCGGTTAAATTCTTATTGTTTGTTCTCAATTCCTCGTCACTCCAGCCTCCGGTAAATGAAAATAATACCTTCCCGTAAAATGCATCGCATTACATCTTTCTTGTAAAATAAACATATTTTTCGCTTTTACTTCTTCGCGCGTGTGAATTCTACTATCGTGGTGTAATTAATTCGACATATTGATAATTTTCTAGTTTATGCAACACTCGCATTGGAAGTTAACAATGTGCTCATCTTATAGATATCCTTTTTTTAAGTTGAAATGTTTCATAAAAAAACAAGCTACGCTATTTTCGTCTGTACGCCTAACCCCTTCCACCACGCCAATGCTGCACGGATCAATTCTCGTTTCGGGGGAAAAACTGTTCGGCAATATTTTAAAGAAACACCCATTAAACAACTGCTAACGAAAGCCAACCCAAACTGAGAAAAACTGAAAAAAAAATAACCCAAATACCTACAAAACGTACAGAAAAAAGTAAAATCAAAATATGGATTCGGAAACTTTGAACGCCAGAAGTGGATAAACGGGAAAATGTTCGAAATAATGCATTTGATTCGATTCTTTCCATAATCGAATTTTATCAAAAAGTACTTAAATGGAAAATGTCCAAGAAAACTAGGTAAAGTAATTATTTTATATTAAAGGACTAGACTGAAGACAAAAAGAAAGTATACTTAATAACTTGCACAAAAACTTGAAGAAGAGTTATCGTAACTAGTCAATTGTCATTCAAGTAATAATTCTAGTAAATTTACATTGAGAGCAGCCAATACAGGGTGGCCATTTTCTGAATCTTTGTATGGGTAACTTCTACACTTTTAAAGATAGGGAATCCGTTAAATGGGAAAAATTGGGCAGAATTTGATTGCCTGTTTCAAAATTTAGCCATTACCGTTTTCAAAATTTAGATACCCGACTTGGTTCCTGAAATATCCTGAAAAGACAAGAAATCAACACTTTTTTAATTATCACATATTACGTAAACTGCTTAACTTAGAAAAGAAGTTAAAACTGCTCTTAGTACAACTTTTTGCATTGAATCCAATAAACTAGCACGCGTTGTCATAGTCAACTTGATTTACGAGATAAAAAAATAAACCTATGTTTTTTTAAATAGTAATCATAGTTGGCTGTGGGCCTTTTAAAATCCTTATTTTTCCTGAATTTGACGATATAATTGTTTGTATGTTTTTCTTCTTATGTTGCCCTAAAACTTCAAAAGAAGATAAAAATGTGTAGTAGACTATGGAAACAAGAACTATACTATCAGACAAAGCACAAAATAAAAATAAAATAATGAATCGTTTAAATTAAATGTTCAAACTGACTTCTGTTTACGTCCAGGCATTTTTTGGCATCAACATGTCTTGAAGTTCATTTGATAAAAAGTGTAAATATTTTTCGCTATTTAAATTGTGATTATAAAAGAATGGACCAATAATTTTATCACTAAAAATGCCACACCAGACACTCATAAAACTTTAGATCTAATAGCCCTAGCAAACCCTACTAAACCACCTAGACAAACTAAAATATTCGTTCAGAATCTCGAGATGCATAATATGTGCAATAAGGTACTTGAAAGGCTAGAATTTGTTTTAGAATATAGGATATTAGAATCAAGGGGGGTTCTTCCTTTGAAACATTACATTCACTGGTAGTTTATCTGATAAATTTGGATTAAAATGGGTGTAAGCTAAAATTCTTTCTTCATCTTGTTCTTTAAATGTAATCTTCCCCTTTGTTCGCTTTTTAAATGATCCGTATTTTTTCAAGTTGTCTTCTAGTCGTAAAAAAGTTGTTTGTCTGATTGTCTCCTCTCCATGTATTGGTGTAAAATAACCATTTCGTGACAATACTGCTAGATGCTTGTTAATGTTTTTTCTTTGAATTTTTACGGTTAAAAGAAGAGATAAACATACCAACAGTTATATCGTTAAATTCAGAAAAAAATGAGGATTTTAAAAGACTCACAGCCAACTATGATTACCATTTAAAAAAACATAAGTTTATTTTTTATCTCGTAAATCAAGTTGACTATGACAACGAGTGCTAGTTTATTGAATTCAAAGTAAAAAGTTCTACCAAAGGCAATTTTAACTTTTTTTCTAAGTTAAGCAGTTTTTGAAATATGTGATAATTAAAAAAGGGTTGATTTCTTGTCTTTTCAGGATATTTCAGAAACCAAGTAGGGTACCTAAATTTTGAAAATGGTAATGAATAGGCAATCAAATTCTGCCCAATTTTGCCAATTTAACGGATTCTCTATCTTTAAAAATCAAAGATTCAGAAAATGGCCACCCTGTATACAATTATATGTTTTTATGGATGTAATTGATTTCAGTTAGTGATTAGGATGAACCTTCACACTTAGTAAAAACTATGCAGCGTTAGAATAGTGTTCAGAATACATATAGACAACTTTTTCGAAAAGAAGATTAGAATTAAATCGAAATAACAGCCAGTCCCTTCGTGATAAATAATTGAAATATCCATCATTTGTTTCAATGTCACTAATTTGTAATTGAAATAATATCAATGTCAATAAGTTTTAAAGAAATGATCTATGACAATAGTCGCAAAATTACCTTGTATTACGAAAAATATAATTAATTACACATTAACAATGTCGTGGTCTAGTTTAGGCATAAGTGATTTGATAGGTTATTTATACATAAGGTAAATAAAAGTAGAAATCACCTGATGTTTTCTAATCTTTCCAATAACATTAAAGTAACGTGTAGTTCTGGGAACTTAAATGAACGCGAACCTGAAACGTACGACTTAAACACTTTTACACTTAATACAGCATATGACACAAACAAACAAACACTAATGAATAGAATACAAAGTGTCGGGGCAGAATAAAATCACTTACCCCCTTTGGCGCTTGACTCCGGGTTTCCGAGGGAAAAGCAGGGAAAATAACACAAAACGGCAATGAAAACAATTGTAACATTGAAAAACCTTAACACCATCGTATTATTTGAGTTTTTCACGCGTTTTACGACATAACCAATATTTATTTTTGTATCACTATTCGAACTAGGTGTGCTTCACCATGCTTCAGTTCATTGCAGACAATCGTCGCCTTGCACAGGCTATACGATATACCTACACCTCGTTCATGAATTATATTGTATATCTTCCTGATATGCGCGTCCTTGTTCAATCTGCTTTTCAGATAAAGATCGCGATTGTCATCCTAATACGCAGTTTCCTGCGGACGCGTCATAGCTTGCGCGCATCGCCAGGCCCTTCGGGCTGCCCATTATGGCGCATGCGTTTTGCCAAATTCAACTAAAATAAATTTCCCACAGGACCGTCATTATAAAAAAATACTTCGTTCACTGCGTAAACAAATCCACATAATAGATTAAGGTTTATGTAATACCTGATGCATAGCTAATATATTTCCTAATACAGAATCTTAAATAACATGCAAAAATTATAATAATGTTCTATCATCAGATAGAACAAAGATATTTTTTAATTTTTTGAAATTGATGTAAATTAAGGCACTTAACTGTGGCGAATTACAGAGAATTGTAACATAAAACGCATTGAGCCTAAATGAAATATTGGAGCTCCGATAGCCGATATCCTATAAGAACAATATAATCGGAAGCAGTTTAGCTCCGAAAAGTGTATATTTGATATTAGTACGGTTCTGTAATTATACTCGTATAAAAAATAATATATTTTCCCTTGAGAAATGTTAATATCTTGTACTTGTGCATTACAACATGTTAATTAAGAATCAGTCTATGCATCAAATAGGAATATGCCTTAAAAATCGATTAAAAGTTAAAACATTATTATTAAGTAGATACTTCCTTATAAATAATTTTGGTATTTTGCTTTATCTGGCTATATAAGTATGACAGTTTAGCTAATTCTATAAAACATTTATGGTTTATAAATAAACCACAATTCCTTTCTCTTATTTGAACTTTTTGACACTTTCTTTCTCTCTGGTCGTTTATCTCTGAATCATGAACAAGTAAGCGTGGTGTTTCCAAAGGGTTTCAGTCAAAAATTACTAATATTAAACTATTGAATATTACTGGTTTCAATAGTTTCTTTGTAATAAAACATACTGTACATGTATTTTTATTACAAAAATGACATCCCAGTCAGTATACTGACATCAGATCACTTGATCACGTAATTTTTGTTCTCAGATTCGTACAGGCGAGATTTTTAGCCCGTAAGAGCCGTCAATAAGACGTGATTCTTAGTCTTAGTCCCGCCCTAAGCATTTAATTACATTTACAAGTTTACGTTTCATATTCTGATTCAATAAAAATAAAATTTCCTATTTTTTAGATGTATGTATCAACACTTTCGGTGTCTCTTTGTAGACTGTTCACGAACAAATATCTTAAATATTGATGTTTAAATAAACTTTGACATCAATTCAATTGGCTAAGTCAGACGCAAATCTTCATAACCATAACCATAATAATGATCATTTTTATAGCGGATCTTCAAAATTATCAATTTTTCATGTGATAAATCAATGATTATTTTACAATTCAAAGGCGGCAATTAGATGCGCACTTATATATAAATATAATTGAAATACAGAGTGAACCAAAATATTGATCATATTCAGATCATTTCTAGGAAATTCCTCTTTTTAAGAAATAATTAATTTCCTTTAAATGCAGGATCGCCAATTTTGAAACACAGGTAATTAATAATTTTCTAAATTTTTAACTTGGAAAAAAAGTCGACCGACACATCATCATTCAACATAAGTAAGAGCATGACATATGTTGTAATTACAGTGTTTTAAGCTTTGAATATAAAACTAACTTTACAGTTAGTTTTATATTCAAAGGTTTTAAGTGAGATGTGGTTAGGTTATTTTGCACTCAAATACCCTTCTGTGTATATTTATCGTTTAACGTGTGCTTACTCAGCTATATAAGATTTTTAGAATACATGCAAACCCTTTTTAAATAAGTGCAACGTAAATTAGATTTTAGCTCGCTCGTATCTTACCCTTTAGTTAGGGTGGTTGAAGCTGGTTTATTTTAACAGGGAATAGAAAATAATCCTTCCTGACCTTTCAAAAGATTGAATGTTGTGAGATTTTAAATCCAATTCCCATGCATACATATTTAATATTTCGTCATTTTGCGTTGTTTCCAATTCTATTATTAAACTACAACTTTAAATTATTTTAACTGAATTTCCTTGATGGTTATTTAATTCACTTTTAAATCTTGCTTTTTTAATTCCTGTTGTCACAAACTAGTTACTTAATTTCAAAGAAATCTTTATATCATTAAGATTATCAGTCCAATAAAAAATCAATCATTTTAGTTTATTTACATCGTTAAAATGTAGGTTCTTTTAATAGATATTCGAAGAAGTACAAATTAATAGTTAGTTGTTCAATTCAATAAACTTGATTTAAAAACTGGTTCTAAACTGCTTAACAAAATAATGGTCACACGGCCAAATTTGCTCTAACTTTGGCACTGGATAACTGAAATTTTAGCAATTTGATTTCTGTTTGATGCCTTTTCTAGTCCAATTATATTTTATAAAACATTAATTTTATAAAGTCGTTATATTTTATAAAATAGGGTGCAAAATGCAACATTGCAAAATTTCTGAAAATCGGCATGCTCCCAATACGAATATATCTTTTACCCACAGGGTGTGCAGAAAAATTAACTTTTTAGTTTTGCAGTAATAACATTTTTCGCATTTTACCGATTTTCAAAATATCAAGCTCATGATGAAACTAAAACTACATCGTCTACTTTGGGAGGTTGCATCATTAATCGAATGATTTGAAAGTGACAGTTTCCTTAAGTTGAAGGGTTTGCCAGAATTCGAGCGTCGGGGGCAGTATATTGAATGTTTATCTTCATTCGACTGTGAAGTTTTAGCTTCATATTTGGAAAATCGGTCCAACAGAAAAAAAATTTATTACAGCAAAACCAAAGTTGATTTCTGTGAACACCCTGTAAATAAAAAGCAGAAAGAAATGTTCAAAAACTATTTAGCGATATATACAGGGTTGCTCATTAGTGCGTCAAAGTGTGATATCTCAGTAAATATGAAGTTTACAAGAAAATTCGTCCAACGAAAGTTTTTCACGTTTAAAAGGTCCACATTCTAAAATTACTTTCCAATATA